CTCATTTTCTCGACGCCCTCGCGCTTCTCCCTCCCCCCCCCCGAGCGCAGCAGGTGGCCCAAGGCGACCAGTTCTCCTTGCTTTTATTTTTCCCCCAGGTGTCGGGCCTTGGACCCTTCCAACTCTGCCATACTTGACGCGGCTCGCCTTCCGCTACACCCCCTTGCCCCTCTCCTCCACTCGCTGCCCTCTTTTCCTTGATCACTCGGTTGGTGCCCTGGTCAAATCCGTTGGATCCTTGAGACCGAGTGAGCTTATGCGCCTGCCAAATTATATCCTGTCATAGAGTCTTCTAGCAGCGACCTTTTCATCGCCGCGTCAGGATGGCACACCCGAGTGTGCTGCCGCGGGCCATCGGTGCCCTGGTCTGCCTGTGCATCGTCTTCCATGCCTCAACCACACAAGCCGCGCCCCTCGTCACCGGTTATGACGGTTCGTCTCCAAGTCATCTTCAAGACCTTCAAGCCATCTCGCAGCCTCACCTGCGCTCCCCCGCACATCAAACACTCATGCCGCCATTCCTGTCACACAGGCTGGACGTTTTATCAAACATCCGAGTACCGCTACTTTGGCGACACGTACAAGGCGTACTTTGCCGATGCCAAGGCCGCCTGCAAAGCCGAAGGCGGCGATCTGGCCAGCATCATCACCCGCGACGAGTACAACGTCATCCTAGACCTCGTGCCCAACTCGATCAACCAGGTCAGTCGATAAATAAGCAGCCCAAGCCAGAGCCTTCCGAACGCCAATCTTGTCTCCTGCATGGCCGCTCTTCACCTCTCCCACCAAGCTGCGACTTGACCCCACGCATGTCACTCCATGGTCTCAAAACGCGTTTGCTCACCGTTACCTTAGGTTTGGGTTGGTGGAGAGCTCACTAACGGAGCCATCACCAATTGGATCGACGGGTCCCTCTTTGTTGACACCACGCCAACCCTGTGGTTGACCGACGAGCCTAGCAACGGCCGTACGTTAAAGGCCCTGCCCTCTGCCTTGTGCCTAAGGCTCTTTACTCGTTTACACGATTGTCCGACTCACGCGTTTTTTTTTTATTTGGTGCCATAGGCCATGATGGTTGTCTCATTCTGGATCAGGGCCGAGGTGGCCTGGACAACTACCGCTGTGATCGCACGCGTACTTACGGTAAGCATGGGCTCACTACCCCACCCCCACCCCAAGCAACGTACCTGTCTGCCACTCGCAGCGTGATTGCCTGACGGTTGCGTGGCCCTTTGTGTGCACCGGTCGTTGCAGTCTGCAAGCGACCACTGGAAATGTCCTCAAGCAGCACCTCCACCTCCACTTCGGTGAGCAGTACGTCGACTTCAACATCAACCTCGACCTCGACCTCGACTTCCACCTCAACCAGCTCTTCGACCTCGACCTCCTCTTCTACTTCGACCAGCACTTCCACTTCCACCTCCAGCTCGACCTCGACCTCCTCTTCTACTTCCACTTCGACCAGCTCCTCCACTTCAACCAGCTCATCGACCTCCACCTCCTCCATCACCTCAACCTCCTCCTCCACCCGAACCTCTTCCTCCTCGTCCACTTCGAGCTCAACCA